ACCCGGGCGAGCTCGTCTTTCAGGCCATCTGATAGGCCAATACGGAACTGATGCAGGAGTGCGAACTCGTTCCAGCGAGTATCCCCCATCCACCGCCTAAATTCAGCTGCGTACTCCTCCGCCGCTCGGCGGCCTTGCCGGAGCGTGTACAGAGTAGCTTCAGCAGAAGCTGCCCGCTGCGGGTCATCATAAAGGATGGCCATAGCATCAAAAAAACTGTCAACCGAACTGAGGTGAGGGTCGTTTTTTCCCCGTAATCGATGGGCCCAGTCTTGGGGTTCACCCTGCAGGAGGGAGATGACGAACCCCACCTTCACGGATTCAGTCACGAAGGTTCGGGGTTGTAGCTCAAAATAGAGGAGGCAGGACTCGCGGAATGATCTGAAACGTGTGCGGTCCCCGTGGAAACGTTCCGGTAAGGGTACTCGGGGGTCGGCCGCCAGGAGTGGGTGCGGATGCCCCAGACACCAGCACAGGGGCTGCTACAGCTGGAGATGTGGGGACCGCGGCCTGTGGGGCGGCAGCGGATATAGTGCAAGGTCTGGAATTGAGTTTCAATCCGCTGACATCTATCCTGCAGGGCCGATACGGTCTGTGTCAAATTGGACAGGTGCCTGCAGATCTCCTCCAGCGGCGAGGGACCTCCTCTAGACTCAGTCATGGCCTTCTGGTACTGTAAGGGACCGCCCGGCGGTACCACTAGCACTCCACTGAATAGGCGTCCCCAGCGCACGGAGTCTAAGTCCCAGGGTGCTTGTTCACCAGGGCCCCTGATGGTGGGGATGGACTTGGAGCTCCCTGAGACCAGGTCGTGACTACTGGGTGCGTCCGTCAGTGGTAGTAGTATGCGCAAGGGGCTCCCACGGGGAAGAGTCTGATGTGAGGGAGGTCAGGAGACCCCACTGCACGGGATGGATGGATGGATGAGCAAGGTCAGACGGGCCGGGTCGGTAACAGAGAGGGCGGCAAGGTACAAGGCAGCGGGCATAGAATGGTCGGGTCACACGCCAGGTCAGCAACAGCAGGTCAAATCCAATAGGGGGCATTCAAGAGAGAGGTCAGGCAAAGCAAGGGTCAGAACAGGAGAAAACAGCAAGGTCAGGTACAATCTGGGTCAATAACTTACAGGGTACAGGTTCACAGGATACAGGATGCAAAAAGACAATTGTGCGGTCATGCAACACTGTACCATATGAATTTTTTAGCATTTTTTTGAGACAGATAAATCTTTTTTAGTGGTATTTATTCACCACTGGGATTTTTTTTTTTTTTTTGCTATGTAAATGAAAAAGTCCAAAAATTTTGAAATAAAGTGTTTTTCTTATAAGATTTTGCAAATAAATAATATTTCATCATAAATCTTGGCCAAAATTTATTCCATTATCTTTTTAGTAAAAAAAAAAAAAAAAAAAACCCAAATTAGTTTATAACCAAAAATTATAATTGTTTAACTTTTTTTTTTTTTACTTACGGTCACCCTAGCAGTACAGTGTCACCATGGTGACCTGTTGTGAATAGCCTTGTACCATGTGACCTCTGTGATCATTCACATATTTCACACGTAAGCAATGATGTCAGAAGTGACATCTTGCTTACTACTCTGCATGTGATCACTGATTGGCCAATCAGTGATCACATGATCAGGACCTCACACAGAGGTCCCGTAGGACAATCGGAGTTCCGCTGTGGACACAGCGGGCACCGGATCGCGGTGCTGCACGCTCCCAGGGGCCACACACATGCAGGGGGCAGGGAGGCAGTTTATAAACGGCCACCCGACCCTGCACTGCCACCGTCCGGTCCTTTATATACACTGGCCGGACGGGAGGTTGTTAAATGATGCTAGTTCACATCTGCTTAACCACTTGCCTACTGGGTACTTATACCCCCTTCCTGCCCAGGCCAATTTTCAGCTTTCAGCACTGTTGCACTTTGAATGATAATTGCATGGTCATGCAACACTGTACCCATATGAAATTTTTATAATTTTTTTTCACACAAATAGAGCTTTCTTTTGGTGGTTTTTAATCGCCGCTGGGTGTTTTATTTTTTGTGCTATAAACAAAAAAAAAAAAAAGCAAATTTGGAAAAAAAAAAGTTTTTCTTTATTACTATTTTGAAATTTTGCAAACAGGTAATTTTTCTCCTTCACTGATGTGCATTGATTAGGCAGCACTGAGGGCACTGATGGGCACTGATGAGGTGGCACAGATAGGCAACACTGATGGGCAGCTCTGATGGGTGGCACTGTTGCGCACAGGTGGGTGACTGCTGGGCAGTGATGGTCAGTGCTGGTCCCTCTTCTGACAATTGTAGGTTATCGGCAGCAGGGGCGGACTGACCATTTGGGAACTTGGGCACTGCCCGAGGGCCCGGAGTCAGTAGGGGGCCCCATTAGATGTCCCTGGTACCTTTTTCATAGGCTTTTTTGGGTGTGGTTTGAGTGTGGGCGAGGACACAGGCGCCCCATGATCCCCTATTGCCCAGGCGCCCCATGATCCCCTATTGCCCAGGGGCCCCATGAGTTGTCAGTCCGCCCCTGATCGGCAGTACTTTCCTCATGCTGTGACAGCGTGAGGAAAGTGCAGCCGATGTATTTACCTGGTGATCTGCTGTGTCATTGGACACAGTTGATCACGTGGTAAAAGGCCGCTGTGATTGGCCGTTTACCATATCACGTGATTGCTGTGTCTGCTGGGTGCACGCAGCTGGGTGCACGCAGCTGGGGGTGTGTTCTGGAATGACGTCCATGGACGTCCTCCCAGAACTAGACAACCGCGCTGTAGCCGTCTTTGTTGTTGTCTGTGTTTTGATGCATTAATGTACAGTATGTCATAGGGCCGTAGAGGCTAACCTATGGCACGCGTGCTGTAGCGGGCACGCAAAGCCCTCCTCACATGGAAGAAAAATATATTTGAAATATATTTTAAAAATATTCTTCCCAAATATATTTTGACATATATTTGAAATGCTACAATTTTGGCCATATTCAATATATTTCAATAAATATATATACTGCATGTTAAAATGCGTTTTTATTACAAAATATATGAAAAATATTTTTAAAAATACATTTCAAATATACTGTATGTCTTATATAAAAAAAATATAAATCTACATTTTTGGAATGCATTTACAAATAGATGTAAAAATATGTTACTTTTTTTAAAAATATTTTTTTAAATATATTCTTCAGATTTTAGTAATAGTTCTAGATCACAGAGCTATCTTATTGCCTATAGGTGTTGTAATTATTCCGACCAGGTTTCTGGATTCTGAGCTGACTGCTTCTCTACGCCACCTCTAATGTCAGTGCATTTTATTGCCTATGTATTGTAATTTTTTGCTCTTTCTTGCCTGCGTTTTATGACTGCTCATTTGTTGCCCATGTATTGTAGCCACAGTTTAGTAATAGTTTTCTTTTGAGTGTGTGTGTGATCAAGTCAGGACTGTTGGTGTACTATATTACTAATTTAATTCTCTGCAGGCCTGTCCCTATAGAACCAAGCCTCTAAAAACGTAGATAGTTTGGCACCGTTGTAAATTTTGTCTATTACTCCTGTAGCGCTACCACCGGAGGATTTAATTTTTGCCCAGGCCTCCCCTTGCTTTGCCCCGCAGCCAGGCACAAAGTATTTTCCACAGCCAGGTACACACACTCTTCACTCCTTGTCTTCAATGACCAGTCTAGGGGATGTTTGTTTTTGGAGTTTTATTGTAGAACTGGGGATAGGGATTAGGAATTTGGTAGGATACACCAATATTGGAACTATTCAAAACTGAGGACATCTAGCTGATTTATTAGTTGAGCATTTTTGAAGTCCTGGCTCAAAGCAAATAGCAGACCTCTCTTTAAATTGTAGTTTAGGAGTGAGAAAAGTCCCTTTAGCGGTAGAAGTAGAGGACTGAGTTCCTCAGGTACAGGCCTGTTAAGTAATAGAACTTGGCAAAGTCCTTTGAAGTAGCAACAGTTGGACAAGCTCTTCAGAACACCAGTCAGTGTTCCCTTTCTCCAGCCCCACGCTTACTATCAAGCACCAGAAGGGTAGCAAGCACACAGAGTCCCCAAGATTTCTGTGTCTGTACTCACAAGTCCAAGGTTAAAATGGCAGCCTCCTTCCAACCTTTCAAGTGACTCTCTCCAATGATACCAGACAGATCTTTGGCAGACAGCTCTCCTCAATCAGCTTCCAGTAGAACCAGTGTCTTTCTTCCTAACTGCAGGCCCTCAGGTCTCCCACCCGTGGCCTGCAAGGCAGCAAGTGCCAGGCGAGGCAAGCCTGCCTCCAGCCTGGCTTGGTGTAATCCTCTCCAGGGAAAGATGCCGAACACATGTGCTCACAGAACGTAAATAACACTCCCAGCATGCAAAGAGGCCACCCTCCTCTGCAATTGGTCAGGGCTGTATCTATATGCATGCTGCTTGTTTGCTTAGTTCCCTCCCAGGTTCTCATAGCTTCCTGAAGGCGGGCAGAACTCGAGGCAAACTCAGAAGCACCAGAGCATCATGAGCAGACCAGACTAATCCATCACAGCACTCTGTTAAGCAGAGAGCCCAATTAGATTTTCCCAACAGTCTCTCTGTTAAGCAGAGAAACACAGCTATGCTTATCCTAACTATATAAATCCTAGCACCTGACTAGGGGGGTGTTATACTCCCTCCGGTATACTCCTAGGTCAGTACTTCTAATCAAGAAGCAGAGCCTGCATATTAAATCAATTATTTACCATTAAATGATATAAACATTACAATAAATACATTTTCCAATACTAAGAATACCCTTTTTGTAGAACTAAAAATGGACTACTGATGTTAAAAAAGACTATTTATATTCTTTGTGTAGTTTGGGGTGTTGAGACGATTTGTGTTTCTTCAGGTCGGCATTGTGAAGTCCATCATATGACTGGAAACTACATGTGGGATCAGAAGACAAATCTTTCATTTGATATTGGTACTAATAAAGACAGCCTGCTGCCAATTTGGTGGGGATGGATCAGAGCCACTTTGGGTTACTATGGAAAAGGCAAAAAGAAACGTATATATGTACTACTGGCCAGGTAAAGTACGGTAACTCAAAGCTAACAATTCTATACTGTACTTCTGAAGCATTAGACTTACGATTTATTTTAACGGTTTTTGCAAATTGGCTTTAACCTGACTTGAGTTACATACCAATTCCAGCTAAATGATTTCTTTTTTTTTTTTCAGTTGTAGTTAGTGTGTTTAAGGGTTAGAACATAGGGTGGGTTTATTGACAAAAATTTCCACTCCTTTCTCTGGTGACAGGGGATAAGGAAATTGGTGTAGATCTTTCCAAATACGATACAAACTGCAAACTACCCAAACCTTACATTTTTTTTAATTCTCATCAACTCTAAAAAGTTTCTGTTCTATGAATGGGTATATTAGAGGGTATAACTAGCGTTTTTAAAGGATCCTGCTGCAATAAACTAGGTTGATCCAGGTAGATTTGGTGTCATTACCACAGTTGCAAACTACCACTGATCCACAGTCACCATACTGTTTAGCATAAGTAATGGCAACCCCTGCAATTAGTAATGTTATTTACAATCCCTGCATGTCCCAACATTTTGGCTAAGACTGTCATTGAGGGAAACACAGGAGCTGTGGTTTGTGACTCCCTGATGATGATGCTACTTGCATGTCTGTCAGATCCGGATCTTGGGAGGACCTGTGCTCACCAGGTCTTTGAGAATGCATACGCTGATCCATTAGCCAGTCTGATGCAGACAATTGATGTAAGGGGGGGCGTTCTGGGAACACTTGATATAAGGGGGCACTCTGATGGGGATACCTGATGTAAGGGGGCACCTGTTTCCCAGGTTGTAACACTGTGTGCCAGGCTGTCCATGTCTCAGTGTTGACATTATGCCCCCTGACTTTTTTTTTTTTCTACTGCGCCCTCAGATCAGATAGACTATATCCAGCACCATGCCTGTACCATAACCCACTAGCTTCTGTCCATTCCAAGTGTCTGACCTGGAACAAGTAGAGTTTAAGATTATAAAGAAGCCAGAGGTACTTATCATGGGTTCAACACCAAGCAACTGCCATTTTCATCTTCACAAAAACATCCAAAAGCTCTAAGACTGCTGCTGAATTCAGCCATTTTAGATGTGGTGTCAGCAGCCTCAGCAGGTATTAAGCAGTCACTGAAGTGGCACTTTGTAGTATTCCCCTTTGCTCTTCCCCAAGCTACTAGATAAAAGATTATATGGGGGTGAGGGTTAGAGAGGCTTGGCCAGCAAAGACAGTAGATTAGACATTTGCAGAAGAGAACCGGAAGAGAAGAAAAATGCTGCAAACAAGGATTGAAAATATTTTCTTTTTCTTTGCTTTTAACGGCAACTTTTTAAAGTTGGTGATAGAACATCTTTAACATCCATAGTGCAGATAAGCTTATATTAAAGAAAAAAAGCATACTGGAAATTTAGGTTTTTTTTTTTTTTTTTTTTTTTTTACAAAATTGAAGTAACTTAATCAAACATTAGGGTTCTTATTGGGTCTCCAACATATACTGTTTTACTGCCAGGGTATCTAATTTCCCATCCCACATACACAAAAGGACAATTATTAACCCCAGTAAAAAACCTGGACATTTTGCACATTTTATTGCCTAATGCATGACATCTGTACAGCAGCAGTGTCGTTCTGAATATGCCAAGGTTGTAAAGCAGTGGTTCTCAACCTTTCTAGCGCCGCGACCCCTTAATACAGTTCCTCATGTTGTGGTGACCCCCAACCATAAAATTATTTTCGTTGCTACTTCATAACTGTAATTTTGCAGTAGGAGGAATAGTGCCACGTCATTGGTGTCATTGGGAGGAATAGTGCCCCATCATTGGTATCAGTGGGAGGAATAGTGCCCCGTCATTGGTGTCAGTGGGAGGAATAGTGCCCCATCATCGGTGTCAGTGGGAGGAATAGTGCCCCATCATTGGTGTCAGTGGGAGGAGGAATAGTGCCCATCATTGGTATCAGTGGGAGGAGGAATAGTGCCTCATCATTGGTATCAGTGGGAGGAGGAATAGTGCCCCATCATTGCTGTCAGTGGGAGGAATCGTGCCCCATCATTGCTGTCAGTGGGAGGAATCGTGTCATTGGTGTCAGTGGGAGGAGGAATAGTGCCCCATCATTGGTGTCAGTGGGGGGAGGAATAGTGCCCCATCATAGGTGTCAGTGGGGGGAATAGTGCCCCATCATTGGTGTCAGTGGGGGGAGGAATAGTGCCCCATCCTTGGTGTCAGTGGGGGGAGGAATAGTGCCCCATCCTTGGTGTCAGTGGGGGGAGGAATAGTGCCCCATCCTTGGTGTCAGTGGGGGGAGGAATAGTGCCCCATCCTTGGTGTCAGTGGGGGGAGGAATAGTGCCCCATCCTTGGTGTCAGTGGGGGGAGGAATAGTGCCCCATCCTTGGTGTCAGTGGGGGGAGGAATAGTGCCCCATCCTTGGTGTCAGTGGGGGGAGGAATAGTGCCCCATCCTTGGTGTCAGTGGGGGGAGGAATAGTGCCCCATCCTTGGTGTCAGTGGGGGGAGGAATAGTGCCCCATCCTTGGTGTCAGTGGGGGGAGGAATAGTGCCCCATCCTTGGTGTCAGTGGGGGGAGGAATAGTGCCCCATCCTTGGTGTCAGTGGGGGGAGGAATAGTGCCCCATCCTTGGTGTCAGTGGGGGGAGGAATAGTGCCCCATCCTTGGTGTCAGTGGGGGGAGGAATAGTGCCCCATCCTTGGTGTCAGTGGGGGGAGGAATAGTGCCCCATCCTTGGTGTCAGTGGGGGGAAAATAGTGCCCCATCCTTGGTGTCAGTGGGGGGAGGAATAGTGCCCCATCCTTGGTGTCAGTGGGGGGAGGAATAGTGCCCCATCGTTGGTGTCAGTGGGAGGAATAGTGCCCCATCGTTGGTATTAGTGACACCAATGATGGGGCACTATTCCCACTGACACCAATGATACTTACCTTGCAGACCCCTGCTCCAGCCTGGGCTCGCTCGCTCCCTCCCTCTCCCATGGTACCGACACTTACCTGTCAGATGTCTTCCTTCTCCGGCCGCTCTCCTCCTCTTCACTCGCTCGATCTTCGCGGTGCCGCTCGGCTCCTCCTCTCCAAGCTCCACCTCCTTGCCGGTGATTGGCCGCCTGTGTGCCTCTCCTGAGCTACAGTGCCGGCGGCCAATCACAGGCGAGGATTGATCTCGAGGTGTGTCCAGATGACAGGGGCGGCATGTCATCCCGCCCACACCTGGAGACGGCGGTGGCGGCGGCGGCGGCGGCAAGGAGCGGTGTCTCGCTTCCTAAGACCATCGGAAATATGTGTTTTCTGATGGTCTTTGGCGACCCCTGTGGAAGCGTCGTTCGACCCCCAAAGGGGTCGCGACCCCCCCAGGTTGAGAACCGCTGTTGTAAAGGGAAACTAGACCACTCCTGAACTGTAGTATCCATCATACCTGCTGTAAACATATTTTATTCATGTATCTTCATTTTATGGACAGATAACATTATTAAAATATATTTTTTTTATTTAGGTTGTGAGGTTGAAATTCTTGGCATTAGACCCAAATATTGCCGTGAATATTACAATTTTCCATCTGATGCTAATTTCACTAGAGCTGTAAATGATGCTCTTCAGTCCCTGAGGTAACTATCGTATATCTCTGTTAGCATGCTCCAATGTGCTTTTAAAGGTGTATATTTAACACACGCACGCACGCACACACACACGCACACACAAAAAATTAGAATATCGTGCAAAAGTTCATTTATTTCAGTAATGCAACTTAAAAGGTGAAACTAATATATGAGATACTCATTACATGCAAAGCAAGATAGTTCAAGCCGTGATTTGTCATAATTGTGATGATTATGGCTTACAGCTCATGAAAACCCCAAATCCACAATCTCAGAAAATTAGAATATTGTGAAAAGGTGCAATATTCTAGGTTTAAAGTGTCTACAAATATATGTTGCGCTCCTAAATACTTCTCAATAATAAATAAATTATTACCATTAAATTAATTCAAATTATGATACAAATAACTAATAAAAGTGTATAAATACCAAAAAATATTTAAATAAATAATTTCAACTAATCAATCTCCTCCAAATAAATATCAAAATAATTCCACATAAAATACTCCTCTGAAAAAACACTTTACCAAGTGCTCACAAATCATTAGTGACATGATGTACCCACCAATATCCTCAATTTCATTTATATTCACAATACCCTCATTTAATATAACAAAAATAATAAACCAACTAATAACACTCAACTAAAACGCATTTAAATGATCCCCATAAACAAAAATAACCAAATGCTCATAAATAACTAGTAGTGATAATTAAGAGGTCTGAGATAACAAAAGGAGCCTGAGGGGATAATCAGCCACCAGAGGATACATCCATTACTCCTAAAGGAAGGATCTCCCAATTTTACCAGCAAAAGTATATGTCCAGCAGGTTCCAGGGAAAGTGAACCGAAAGCGTGTATAGCCTAATTGCAGGCATCAAAGGAGGTGAGCGCACATCTTCACTATTTGAAGGATTCACAAAAGTCACAAATTGAAGAACAACAAGCACCAAGTCACTATATATAAACAATTGTTTATTCAATGGGACTATTATTTTGATGATGTTTGGATTCATACTAATCACTACTAGTTATTTATGAGCATTTGGTTATTTTTGTTTATGGGGATCATTTAAATGCGTTTTAGTTGAGTGTTGTTAGTTGGTTTATTATTTTTGTTATATTAAATGAGGGTATTGTGAATATAAATGAAATTGAGGGTATTGGTGGGTACATCATGTCACTAATGATTTGTGAGCACTTGGTAAAGTGTTTTTTCAGAGGAGTATTTTATGTGGAATTATTTTGATATTTATTTGGAGGAGATTGATTAGTTGAAATTATTTATTTAAATATTTTTTGGTATTTATACACTTTTTTATTAGTTATTTGTATCATAATTTGAATTAATTTAATGGTAATAATTTAATTATTATTGAGAAGTATTTAGGAGCGCAACATATATTTGTAGATATTTCTAACGCAGTTGTAGTTATGTGTTTCATGTTTGAGATCCTCTAGTAATTATCACACTTGTGGCTTGCAAGTCACTCTGATTCATCTAGGTTTAAAGTGTCCCACTCTAATCAGCTAATTAAGCCATAGCACATACAAAGGGTTCCTGAGCCTTTAAATAGTCTCTAAGTCTGGTTCAGTAGGAATTACAATCATGGGAAAGACTGCTGACCTGACAGTTGTGCAGAAAACAGGTGTGAAACAGAGAAAAATGCATTTCATGTATTATACTAAATTAAAAAGCGAGACCTCCAAAAATATTGCCATTTAGAGGGCATGTCTCCATTTATTATGATGTATCATTTTTGCAAGGCTGCACTTTAATAAATAGTTACACCCCCTCGAGCAATATTTTTTTTACTACCATTACTCTTCATGCTTTGGATCTTTTTGTGTTATGCTTTGGATCTATTTGTGTTCAGCAAAACCTGAACCGAGCATCCTCAGATCTTGTACAGCATCCATTGTTGGTTTTTTTAAGGTGTTTTAAAAGGGGTACAGCTTATTTATTAATAAGTCTACTAGATGACTGGTGGTCTACATCCCTTAACCCCCTTCATTTGAGCCCAGGTCATCTAGGATCCATCCCAGTGGAAACCATGAAATAGAAAAGTAGGGCAGTGGTCAGCTCATCTCTGTTTTCTCTTTCTATCAGTCTGTTCCTCGTTAGCACATAAACTGATTGGCTTCTTGCTCTCACACCCCAGCCTTCCATACAGGAACTGCAAGAGGCTAATACCAGGTCAAATTCAGGTAGTTACACTAGTGGTTATGCTTGCATTTAAAATACAGTTAATGATATATTATTACAAAGTTGCATTGATTTGTGCTTTTTATATCTGCCCAGAGTTCAGCTTTAAGCCAGCAAATAAGAAATATTCAGTTAGATTCAATGCAGAAATGTAATCTAAGCAAGCGAATGGAAGGAAGCAGTAGCTGGGGTGGACTGGGTACTTTTTAGACATAGATAAAAAACCTTCCAACTAGGCCTTTGATGGTATGGACAGATTTCTGAGGGTTAAGGAAAGGGAACCGTGCAATGTGTGCCATAGTGCCTTATTTTTTGGTGGGCGTAGTTAAAGATGAGGATGCAAACCCTGACACTGACAAAAGCTTGTTGACACCGGCCCATAGGGCTCGTTCACACAAGTCCATACACCAAAACGTTTGCGGTCTTATGTCTGTTGTGCAGAGGCGGTGCTTTGTTTAACTTTACTGAAGTGGGACAGCACAGTGGCTAAATGGTTAGCACTTCCACCTGGCAGTACAAGGGTCGTCGGTTCGAATCCCAACCATGGCACCACCTGCCTGGAGTTTGCATGTTCTCCCTGTGCCTGTGTGGGTTTTCTCCGGGTACTCCGGTTTCCTCCCACACTCCAAAGACATGCTGGTAGGTGAATTGGCTTCTGTCTAAATTGACCCTAGTATGTGTATGAATGTGAGTTAGGGACCATAGATTGTACACCCCTTGAGGGTTAGGGACTGATGTGAATGTACAATATATATGTAAAGCGCTGTGTAAATTGACGGCGCTATATAAGTACCCAAAATAAATAAATAAAAAGTGTCACAAAATGACACTTTATTCAAGTCTATGCACTGCAGTGCATTACGATGAGTTGTGGTGAGTTGTGCTGTGTATAAAAGCATGTTTTTACTTTTCATGGCACACTGCAGCCCTCCTCAACACAACATTGTGTTGTGAACAGGACACATAGAAATCAATTGTTTTTTTTATGTGCCCCTTGCATTGAGCTTGTGTTGATCAATGCAGATCAACACTGCTCATCAGATATGAGGTGCGTGAACCCTACATATGCTTTTTGTAACACCTTTTCACATCCTCCTCACATCCTCCATCATATCCTCCATCATGAGCTTCCTTTTGCAGCTCTTGGCATTCAGTGACATCTGCAAAGGAACTTTGATGCTGGAGGATTTCAATCTGCCTGATGACTGCAGGCCTAAATAGGAAGCAAATAGCTATACAATACCCAACATTTGTCTTAGTTTCCCCACCTGATTAATGTCTGAATGGTGAGGTATCTCCACTCAAGCTCATTAGCTCAGTGTTTCTTAATAGCGGTGGCTCAGGGGGCAGTGCCCCCCAGCCCACTCACCTTCTCATTAGTCGTAATGTAGGTGCTCATTAGCAGCTGCACCCGCAGTACCACCTGCATACCTGATTTCATTCCATGTTGTGTAATACAGTGGCAAGAAAAAGTATGTGAACCCCTTGGGATTACGTGGAGTTTTTCATTGAATTGGGCATAAAATGTGCTCTGAACATCATCTAAGTCACAACAATAGAAGAACAGTGTCTGCTGAACATAATACTACACAAACATTAGCTGTTGCCATGGTTTAATTGCACATAACATGTAAACATTCACAGTGCAGGGAGGAAAAAGTATGTGAGGCCCTAGCTTAATGACTTCTCCCAGAGCTAATTGGAGCCAGGAGTGAGCCAACCTTGACTCCAATCAGTTTGATGATATTGGATGTGTTGCTGACAGCTGTCCTGCCCTTAAAAAACACACACCTGTTTTGGGTTTACTGGTTTCAAGAAGCACTGTCTGATGTGAACCATGCCTCGCAGAAAAGAGCTCTCAGAAGACCTATGATCAAGAATTGTTGACTTGCATGAAGCTGGAAAGGGTTACAAAAGTATCTCCAAAAGCCTTGATGTTCATGTGTCCACGGTAAGACAGACTGTCTACAAATGGAGAAAGTTTAGCACTGTTGCTACTCCTCCTTGGCGTGGTCGTCCTGTAAAAATGACTGCAAGAGCACAGCGCAGAATGCTGCATGAGGTAAAGAAGAATCCCAGAGTGTCAGCTAAAGACCTACAGAAATCTCTGGCACATGCTAACATTTTTGTTGACACATCTACAATAAGGAAAACCTTAAATAAGAATGGAGTACATGGGAGGACACCACGGAGGAAGCCATTGCTGTCCAAAAAGAATATTGCAGCATGTTTGAAGTTTGCAAAAGAGCACCTGGATGTTCCACAGCACTACTGGCAAAATATACTGTGGACAGATGAAACCAAGATTGAGTTGTTTGGGAAGAACACACAACACTATGTGTGGAGAAAAAAAAGGCACAGCACACCAACATCAAAACCTCATCCCCACTGTAAAACATGGCGGAGGGAGCATCATGGTTTGGGGCTGCTTTGCTGCCTCAGGGCCTGGACGGATTGTTGTCATTGATGGGAAAATGAATTCCAGAGTTTATCAAGACATTTTGCAGGAAAACGTACGACCATCTGTCCGCCAACTGAAGCTTCACAGAGGATGGGTGATGCAACAGGACAATGACCCAAAGCATACAAGTAATTCAACAAAAGAATGGCTGCAACAGCACAGAATACGCCTTCTGGAGTGGCCCAGTCAGAGTCCTGACCTCAACCCGATTGAAATGCTGTGGCATGACCTTAAAAGAGCGATTCACACCAGACATCCCAAGAATATTGCTACACTGAAACAGTTTTTTTGTGAAGAGGAGAGGTCCAAAATGACTCCAGATCATTGTGTAGGTCTGATCTGCAACTACAGGAAACGTTTGGTTGAGGTTATTGCTGCCAAAGGAGGGTCAACCAGTTATTAAGTCCAAAGGTTCACATACTTTTTCCTCCCTGCACTGTGAATGTTTACATGTTATGTGCAATTAAACCATGGCAACATCTAATGTTTGTGTAGTATTATGTTCAGCAGACTGTGTTCTTCTATTGTTGTGACTTAGATGACGTTCAGAGCACATTTTATGCCCAATTCATGCAAAACTCCACGTAATCTCAAGGGGTTCACATACTTTTTCTTGCAACTGTATAATAGTTTATATCCACCAATAAATAGACTGATCCCCTCATATGTTTACATATGTATAGAGTATTATGTAATTCGGTTAAAGGTAGATGTATTTATATATTCATTTTGCTTTCAGGAATAGGGATACTGACATGGCTGCTGTCTACTATGAACGGGTAGATGTAGAAGGTCATCACTATGGACCCTGGTCTGACCAGAGAAAAAATGCTACTAAAGCTGTAGACCAAGTCCTGCAAAGCCTAGACCAACAAATCAAGGTAATTATGTACCAGAGATTTAATCAAAGAAATCTGTGCCTTGCAGGATAAGAAATGAAATCTAAAAAAGAGTGGAGAAGTTGCCTGTAGTAATCAATAAGATCCCAATATTATTCTAAAGCTAGAGTCTCCTAAAGTTCTACACAACAGGCCAGTTTACTGGCCTTCAGACTTTAAAGAGGCCAGACTGTGGCTAGTAGGAGTAGATATTACCCCAGTATCAATGGGAGTAGCCTTATTGTTGTCAGTAGGAGGAATAGTGTTCCACTGTTGGTGTCAGTGGAAGGAATGGTGCTTCACTGTTGGTGTCAGTGCGAGGAATAGTGCCTTGTATTAGTGGGAGGAACAGTGCCTCAAGGATCAGATAAAGGCTAGCAAAGGGCCACATCTAGCCTGCAGATTCCAGTCTGGAGATCACTGCTCTAATGGCAGTTAAAAAAATGTTGTTTGATTCGTGCGCAAACATTGCCCCTGCAATTCAGTACATCCCATACAAATCTATGGTACATTCATGTGTGGCAATCTGGCATTAGAATTTTACCAGCCCTGCTGCGGACAGTGCAGGAGGAAGCAACAGGTAGGCCAAACTTAATGTATTTATAGGGCCAGAGAACTGACGGTCTACTTTTAAGCACAGAAAGATTAAATTTTGAATGGGACAAAACAAAAAATGCAGGTAAAGACACAATATACTGAAGTTTTCCTTTTAAAACCCTAGGGGTACAAAAAACTCAGCTATGCATAAACAGCTATTGTACTCTTTGACATTTTAAAGCTGACCTTTTATTTGAACATGAAAATTCCCCTTATAATCCACCCACCCGCAGCCTCCTGGGATAACGTCGCACTTCCCAGGAGGATACAGGACCAGTCTCATTGCTTGCTGCCATCTGGCACATGTGCATTAAAGGGGTGACCGTTCGTCATCAGGAAGTGAAAGTCTGGTCCTGAAGCCAAAAATTAGCTGTGTGTAAGACAGAAGTACACTTCATAGCCTGATAAGTATCTGCTTCTTAAAGGCTCATTCTCACTAGCATCAAAGACTGCTGCTCCTCTGAGAAGAGATCCATGTCCAATGCACTTTTCTGAGGCATTTGACAGGCAGTGAGAAGGCCATATGTCCCCTCCTCACCACCTGTTTTAACTCTGTTTTAACCACCGCACCGTGGCCCCATTCATTTGAAGTATAGTTCCTGTTGTGGCAGCTAAGAAAAGCATCATGGCCACATCATGTGTACTTTCCTGGCTGTTGCTTTTCCAACTGCATGCTTTGACGGCCCCCCAAACACAAGTGTGAACGAGTCGGCAACTACAGTATTTGTAGCTGCTGACTTTTTTTAATTTTTACACTTGTTTCCTTTGTAACAAAAAAGTCACTTCGAACATTGGGAATATGTCAAAAGTCTATATTGCTGAAACCTTTAAAATAGAGCAGAATTGTGTGTGTGTGTGTGTGTGTGTGTGTGTGTGTGTGTGTGTGTGTGTGTGTGTGTGTGTGTGTGTGTGTGTGTTAGTTACAATAAAATTTTACTTTTGCACATGCTACAAGTTTCCTACCTATATGGTATTCCAACCTATCCTTGCTGCCATGTACTATGGTGATTGTTTACAGTGTAGGAGATTGTCACAGCTACTGTTTTTGAATCTCTCCCATCTTCCCTTATTCACATGCACAGCGGACACCCTAATGGAGCCTGTACCAGGCTGGTCTGTTAGACTATAATAATAGAACTTAAAATACTTTAATTACAGCTTCCATTAATGATAAACCCATTGTTTTAAAGGGAAAACCTGTCATTTTTAGGGTAAATTTTTTTTAGCATTAAAATGGTTGTAAACCTCACACATGAAAAATGAATATTGAAAAAAGCATACCTCTCTAGAGTCAAGAAGGAAAAAAGTATATCCCTCTATAGTGTGTACTTGTCTCAGTTAAGAGCACTAACACCCCAGTCACATCGGGTGCAGCATGGCATGCGATTTGCATGCCAGGCAACTTGCAAATCGTATGCCAAGTCATACCCTATCGTCTGCTATTCGAGCAGACATATTGGTGCGGTTCCGACTTGGTCGGAGCCACACCGATTTCTAAAGTAGTGCATGCACTACTTTTGTTGCGATTTGCATAGACATCTGTGTCAGATGTCTTGCAAATCACAACTGAAATCGGCAGGTCACCGAGTTTTGAAACTGTGCGATTTTTTTTTTTTTTTTTTTTTTTTTTTTTTTTTTTTTTTTTTTTTTTTTCCCTCTAAGTCACACAATTTAAAAATCAGCTTTGATGTGACCCAGGGTTAGTGTCATTTCTGTCTGCCTCCTAGTTCCTCTATCAGAATGAGTCATTTCTGATACGTTTTCATGACACCGAGAAAAATGGAGACGGGGAGGGAGCTCCAGCAAATTGATAGCCTCATGTCTGATCCTGTGAGCTGTATGGAGGGGGTGTGTCTTTTTCCTCCAATCAGCTCTCAGAGCTCTCCTCACTCCTCAACCCCTTTTTTCTGAACTCTCAGATAAGCTTTATTAATTCAGCACTTTGAACAGATGTAGAGAAGAGAAGACTGCATAAAAAAAGGTTAAACTTATATAGGAAGGTTTGTTTCATTTTTGATGCTCTAAGACTGGCTGTGACTTGGCATGCGATTTGCATGCCTACGACTTGCAAATCGCATGCCAAGTCGCACCCTATTGTCCACAATTACAGTGGTCGTATCAGTGACTTGTTCGGAGCCGCACCGATTTCTAAAGTAGTACATGCACTACTTTTGGTGCGATTTCCATAGACATCTTTGTCACATGTCTTGTAAATCGCACCGCAAATCAACATGACATCCAACTTTGAAATCGTGCGACTTCACTGTAAGTGGCACGATTTCAAAGTCAGGATCTGTGTGACTGCAGTGTTTTCTTTGTAGAAGTTAGGAAATATTTTCAGTTACAGTGTTTAGCTGGAGGTGATTGTAGCCGTATTAGTGCATTTGCAACAGAAACAATTGAGTACTGTCCGTGATACTTTTTTTATTTGCACTAACAAACAATTTTGAGGACAAGCTTTCGGGGTATGTCCCCTTCTTCAAGGTCCAAGCAGTACTATACAAATCACAAAGTTTTAGCAGAATGGTAGAAGAGATGGAGGAAAAAAAAAAAAAAGAGGCTAGAGATAAGACACAGCAAAAGCAAAGGGGGGGGGGGGGGGGGGGGGAAGACAACACTCACACAGAGGGAGTCAAGCTTGAGCCAATTAGTCATAAAAATATTGGCTAATGAGTGAGGAATCCCATGTCCAAATTCAGGCCCATTATCTCTTGTATTTTAGTGTTCTTTTAGTATTTAGTGTTTAGCTGAGTATCTTTTATCATAAAAACTGAGTGGACACAACACAACTTTCAATGGATATGCAGCTGAGTTTGCAAAGGACTGAATATTAACCCATGACAATCATACTGCAGTTTATTTCTGTTAAATATTGCTAGACTAAAACTGTTTACAAAGCACATTGCATGGTAATGAATACATGCTAAGGGTCCATATATCAGAATTACATTTTGTCTGCTGACTTTAAAGTAAATATCAAGTACAAATAGAAAATGCATGTTTTTTAATCAGCATTTATTACAAGTTCTACATCTTATAAAAAAAAAAAAAAACTTTTTCAAAACATGATCTCACAGTATTGATGGTTAACATTCGGGTATTAAGTATACATAGAGAAATGCCACACTAGAGAACCATAATCTTCACATTCCTGAATGTCTGATTAGTAAATAACTGAGCAGCAAAAGAGTTTTTTGGGAACCTACCTATATGGATATCCATACCTCCCTACTTTTTGAGATGGGAACGAGGGACACGTATTAGCAAATGTATGTAGGCATAGGGCACACCCCCTGCAGCGCCCCTTTAAAGGATAATTGGAGGAAAAAAGGTTTAGCACTGTGAAACACTTTTTGAAAGATAAATGGTGCAATTTATATATAATTATATATATATATATATATATATATATATATATATATATATATATATATATATATATATATATTAGACCAAAATGAGGGACAAAGGAGGAGGAAAGGGGGACAGAGGGACTTTGTTCCAAATTAAGGACAGTCCCACGAAATCGGGAACAGTTGGGAGGTCTGGCTATCTCCTACATAAAGTGCTATAGACCCACCCCAACCCCTTGTGCATCTTATTGGGTCGGCATAGGATTTTTAGGTGTCCTTTTGTGAGGGCCAGTACCTTACTTGGCCTATAAGTAACATTAGTAGTATCTTATTCCCAGAGATCTCAAGATCTAGGGGGGAATATATCTGGAGTGTCACCTACTACATATCTGTCCAACTTTCCTGGTGTTCCTTTAAGGGTATAAGTATGGTATACTTTTCTATTATGAGCATAATATTAATGTTGCTGTCACTCCTGTAGTGGGGGGGGGGGGGGGGCTGAAACAGTGCTCCAGTATAGGACATGATTTTACTCTGAAGCCATCTGATTCTTGAAAACTGGCAGAAATAATTTCCAGGGGCCCTTCTGTACTTAATGTGCCACAAATCTCTAGAAATGTAACTTCTTTCTCATTGGCTCACTGATTTTATCAGTAGCTTTCCTTGTATAGCAACAGTGGCACTGATTATTGATTATACCAGCTAGAACCTCCCATTTAGCACTCAGCTGTTTGGAATATACATGTGTAAGTTTTAACAGAACATCTGCAGGTAAGATTCTGCAGTGCACTTCCAATTTACATTACAGTAGTAGGGAGGTGGTTAAAGAAAAAGACATGTTTCATATCTGAAATAAAAGCTGCTCCCATTTATAACCTACAATAATTTGAGTAACGTTTATTGCAGCAAATATGAAACATGTACTGTGTGTATTCTATAACCACCTCCCTACAGCTGTAACATAAAAATGGCAAAATACTGAAGAAATAAGCCACAGATGTCTGAAATACAATTGTCCAATTGGAAAATGCTTCACTTTCTAAAAATAGTCTTTATTTTTAATCAATAATATTAGTTTTTTTTCTACCTTCCTCAGTTTTTGACTTTTGCTATAGCTATATCCCAACTGTCCCTCCTTTTGGAAGAATAATTCCTCTTTTGTCCCAGTCATGTTTTACATATTAATGGTCTGTGTAACTGGGGACATGTCTGAGGTGTGTCATTTCCTACATACTGGGTACTAAAAGGTGTCCCTCTTTCTTATCTCAGAAAGTTGGGGAGTATGTATAAAAACTGAGTATTTCTATGGTTCATTTTAATTTATTTTATTTTGAGTTTAAAGCAGTAATAAATTGTAAGCTCTAACAAGCAGGCCCTCTGTTTCCTCTTGTACCAAATTGTATTGTAACTAATGTCTACCTTCATTTTGTAAAGCGCTGAGCAAACTGTTGGCGCTATATAAATCCTGTATAATAATAATAAAACCAAAAGCAAACATTTATTTCATTGCAGCATACAAAAATCGTAGATGTAATGGCTGTGTTATCTTTTTCTTTTTTTAAGCTTTTTTTTTTTCTTCATTTTCATCTGGTGATCCGGCCAGTAGATCTGTTGATTTTCAAAAGAACAAGCTCTCCTGCAAAGGTATCAGTTTACAAGGATGAGACAAACCATTTACCACTGACAGGGGTGCTTTTAATTAGCTTTTATTTATTTATGAACTGTTTAGTTCACACTTTATAAGTAGTTACAGCAGAGTTTGGCTTCAATCTGTCATTGCATCTAAGTCTGCTAATCCATTACACCTGCTATCTGCTGTACCTGGAGGGTATCCTGTACCTCCTTAAAGGTATGCCAACATATGAGAAATCCATACTTGCCCAGAGCAGCTAAAGACTTCTTGTATGTAATTGGGTCCCCTTCATTGGCCAAACACCCTTGAGCGTGGGGAAATTTTCATTTCTCCACATAATTCTATATAAATCAGGTCAGTCCCACATGCATTACATCCCCCAATGTCAACAGGGTTTGTGTCAGAGATGTTAGTTTGAGATGGTTCAGAGATCATTCAGAATACATTTGGCCTACAGTTGATTTCCTTCTGAGCTGCATTTTACTGGCTTCCTTCGACACAGTTTGCATTCCCATAGACTTATAAAAAATATAAATGATCTATTTTACTGTACTCCCTTTTTTCCTAGATTTTCTTCTTCTGGCTCTTCCATAGGGATACCATATGAACCATGAGGTGTCTTATACACCTCCCCATTTGGATTGCAAATTTGCGTATCCTTCAAGATACCACTTTATACCAAAGTTGGCTGATGAATCATGAATATTTAGTACCGTTTGTGTATCAAGTAACTAACTGACACATAAAGTATGTTTTACTCCTGATCATTTGACAAATTGTTTATAATGTTACTTATTTCAATTTTGTTCTATTCACATACAACCACCAATAACTGATGTTTACTTTTGCAGCCTGGTTTTATGTACTTACTGTATATGCGGTCACGTTTTGATCTTTGCATTTAAAATTATTAAAAAATCTAATAAAAATTATTGAAAGGAAAAAATATAAATGAAGTCCAAGCTAGGTCACCAGTCAGTAAAAAACAAGCATTTGCTGTGAAACTGTGATACCGGTCAATCAGATAGTGAATATGTCTGCATTGCCATCAGCTTTTTTACTTCATGCACATGCCACTTTTAATGTCTAACAACACATGCGTTGAAGGTCAATACGGAGTGGGTGCGAACGACATTTGAACCATATTTGGATGCTATGGAGAAGGCTTGATTGGCTGCTAATCGTCATTTTTTTTTTTATCTGATTTTGACTACTCTGTAACATGATGGTCAAATATATCTGGTAAGCCTTATTTGAGCACGGAGTGGGATGACGTTTTGCACAGATATTATTTGGTCATCTGGCAATTGAAGATTCACGTTTGCACTTTTGATACATTTCTTTTGGAATTGGGACTCACTTTTATCATGTTATTTTGTATTTTATTGTATATATCTTTGTGATATTGATATATAGTTTGTATATCATATCAAGTTTCACAGGTTAATAGCTGGGAACACAAAGTTTTTTTTATATGTAAGTCAATCAGACAGTGCAAACAAGCAGCGCTAATGTGGATTAAATTATCAGCATGTGACATACTGTACAATAAGAATTAGACTCTCATAAAAGCATGTGAGATAAACAAAATATCAATAATATATAACACTAAATTAAAATGTCCAGACAAAGTGTATCCAAAAGGAAAAAAGGTGAAAATATCCCTCATTTATCCAAGAAGAATCCAATCCACAAAGTAGAAGTAAAGATCACCATTCATCAAAAAGTGTGTTGTAGTCCACCAATAGTTAAGGAGATTCCACCACCCTGTGATACGGTTAAAAGCGCCTCTTACCAGATCAGATGGACCACTGCATTATAAATGGTCATAGTATGCTCAGCACATCATGGCCAAGGATGGCTTCATCATGGCATACAAATGCCCTCAGCAAGCGATGTCACTAATGGATGAAAAATAAACAATCTCCCATTGTGAAATATGTTTAAAAATCCTCCTTTTTTTTGTATAAAAAAAAATAGTGCTCACATCCATGTTGGGTAAAGTGCGAAGTAACAGTAAAAAGGTTTCTTACATAAAATTTGATATAGCAGGCTGACAGGTTTGGCATAGAGAATGCTAGATAGAGAATGCTAGATAAACTTTAAAGAATACTTTTACCTTTTAACAAAAATAATAAATGCACATTTTTTTTTTTATCAGGTAAAAAATTGTGCATTTTATTATTTTTTTGTTTGTGGAGCCTCTAAAGCATTGCACCCACGATCAGCAGATCGCTGGTGCCTTGCAGGTCTCCCCCTGACCTGTCAGTATATCTGCTTGCCCGTACATCCTGTACAGGCAAGCAGATACTTACTAATGGGAAGGCTTAGTTAACTACCATGGCACTGTGGAGCGCCGAAAAAGGCTGCCAGGACATGTAGTTTTCCCATTCATAGAATACTGTGAATGAGTGATGCGGCTGGGCGAACGGAGACCTGCACGGCCAAGTTTTTTTTTTTTAAATTGTCACAGCTAGCGGGAGGGAGAAGATCCCCCCCCACTAGCTGTCATAATGAGGATCAGGGGAGCATGGTTGTCTGATTGTTACATGTTACACCCTGAATATGGGTGTAAAGTAACCTGTTACGCAAGATGAACTTATCCTACAATTCAATCCACGAAGAAAAGCTCCATCTTGTGGTGAAAAAAATATATTGCCTGATTAGAGCAATACAAATCGTAGGAACTCCTATAAAGAAAATCATATTAAAAAATATATAAAAAAGCGATCAGCCTGCCAATTATAAACATTACCAATTAAAAAAATTATATCCATTATTTTGTTCATATATTGCTTATAGACCATAATTTAATCAAAAACATTAAAAATCTATATTTATGAAACAAATCAAAGGACAACACAATAATGATTTTTCCTATTAGTTAAAAAAAAATGTATATTTAAATCAATTGTTTAGATCTTTTGAATACATTTTAAAAGAGAAGTTGGGCTTTTCCCCCCCCCCCCCCCTTACCTAGGTGGATTTAGCATCGGTCCGATGATGCATCTGTCCTCTGCCGACTCTAAAGGTGAGAACTCAGCAATCACATTATCGCTGAGTTCTCACAGCCGCTCTAAGCAGAGAGTGGGACTGTCAGTCACCGTTGTCTGCTCAGCCTCCCCCCAGCGCTCACTAGAGTGCTAGGCTGTAGAGGGGGAGTGAGCGGTTGGCTCAGGCTCTGAGCGCTTCACTGAGTGGCTGAGCCAGGTGTCGCTCCAGACACTAGGGTGGATCCTGACTTTTAAAATTGGGATCTTTCTCCAGCCTGGACTGACTGAGTGACATAAGCCAACAGCAGGCTTCAGTCTATTAGCTGAAAACGGATCACAGGAGTGCAGAACGAACTGCACTCCTGTGATCCACAGGAGAAGTGCAGCCAAAAAAGCTTTGGCTGTACTTCTCCTTTTAAACCATAGAAGACACCCCAACAAAATTGAAATACTATATTTTCAAAATATCTGACTAGCTGTTACTAATATTAAAGCTTTGAATGTCTTATTCGACATTCAACCCAAATGGAACATAGGTTTTCAAATTATATATCCATCTGGTCTCTAAACGTGGTGGAATCTCCTTTTACTATTGATGGACTACACTGCATTACTCGATGAATAGTGATCTTTACTCACACTTTGTGGATTGGATTCTCCTTGGATAAATGATTTCTAAAGAAGGATATTGTCACCTTTTTTCCTTTTGGATACACTTTCTATGGACATTTTAATTTAGTATTCTACATTATTTGGCATACTTACATGAATACTTTAATTTAGTGTCATATATTATTGATATTTTGTTTTTCACATATTTTCTCACATACTGTTATGAGAGTCTAATTCTGGTTGTATGTCACATGTTGATAATTTAATCCTTATTAGCGCTGCTTTTTGTTTGCACTATACACGTAGACTTGTGTCCTGGTCTTTCTCAAAAGTTTTGCCCAGGCACACTGGTTCATTCACACATTTTTTTCAATGGCCAGTCTAGGGGTGTTGTTGTTTTTTGTTGTTTTTATTTTTTTGAGAACTTGGATAGGCATGAGGGAATTAGGTGGGATACTCTTAAAAACAAGAACTGACTACAGTCAGACTACAAATCACACTGACTACAGTGTGACAACTAAATTTACCTATCAAAACACAAACTAAATCTATCTAAACCTAGCACCAATCTAGATGGGTGCTACACTTGTATAGGAATGCAAAATCAATTTGAAGCAAACAAAAGCCTGTTGACACAGGCCCTTACTTTTTATCCTTTACAAGACTCCTATATTGCTTCTTATTATTTTATATTGTCTATTTCCAGGACAGTGGTCTTAAGGATGACTTAAATATAATTCTGTTCTCGGACCATGGGATGACAGACATATTCTGGATGGACAAAGTGATAGAGCTTCAAAATTACATTGATTTCAATGATATTTTACAGATGAAGGATAGAGGTCCTGTTGTGAGCCTCTGGCCTGTGGAAGGCAAGCTTTCTAAGGTAAGTGAGACTAGGCAATCATTTAATTGCCATTTTTAACCTGAGGTAATAAATATGGTTCTGAGACAAACTGACATTTTAAAGGTAATGTAAAATATAATTCCTATTTCTCCTATTTTCTCCTATTTGGTCTGTTAAATATGTTGTTGAAAGACTTTTATTGTACTTGTTCAAGTGCAAAAAAAGCTAGAAAGAAATCTTGTGAGCTGATAACTTCCTGTACGCTCTGACTCTGGACTGTTATCAGGTAGATTTGTTCATTGCTATCTTTGTGGACTACAGAACACCCCCCCCTGTTATGGAGAAAAGAGGAAGGTGTTATGTAGACTTAACACAATGTCCTATTGTGGGGAGACAAAGCTGCTCAATATGCTTTTCACCCTAGGACAGGAAGTGAGGTGATGCCAAGATTAACAAGTTAAAATAAAGAAGGGGAAAGTACAAAAAAAGAAAATTAATGTAGCGACCACATCTAAGGCTACCTTACTATCAATTTTTGTTCTTAGGTTCCGAAACACTTTAAGTCAAACTAGCCCTAAGTTTCCCCTTTATGTAGAGAGGACTCCACTTGAAGTGTCTCTTCTCCTTTTACTGTTAAATTCTAGAGACGGTTGAGCTCATGTCACCAGTCTTTGCAGTCGCTCCACACCTACAAATTTGCTTTGCAGAATGCTATTGTGTAGACTATTATGCTGTTAAAGTTACCTGCAGCACTGAAGAAGTTGCCATTATCGTTTTTTGGAAAATCTTTATTTTGTGTTTTCCAAACATACAGGTGTTGGAAAACAACAGAAAACGGTATGCTCTGGATTAAAATTTAAAATGCAGAAACACAGTAGGGTTTGGTACAGGCATACTGAATAAAGGCAGTTCGCCCTCTTCAGACAGGATAATCCATATTGTTAACTAATACATAGTTTAAAAAAATTATAAATAAAATCTTGTGATCTGCTATGGCAACCTATACAATTAAAAGTGCCAACAATTAGCTAAAAATAGTAGATCGCTTACACCATACACATACCCATACAAAGGGGTCATCAGTATGCAAATACAATAAATTTGTGTCACGCTCCACTAATAAACATGTATAAAATATATATATAATCTCTAAAACTTATAAGTCTCTTCCAAAGTTTGTATATCTCTTCCAAAAAAATTTAAATTAAAACATTGTGTCCATATTTCATCCTTGACCATACACTTCTTCAAAGTATTGTGGACAAATCGATTAGTCCTTGGTTCACCTCTAATGTGTTGTCATAACAACCATTTGTGCACCTTCACCAGTTGTGTGGTAAATATGATCAAACTGTTAAGTGAGGTCATAAATAGCTTGTGTCACTTAAATGGACTGTGGCTGGTTGGGATGGTTATTCAAAAAGGGTTTGAAACCCCTCACTTCTTTAGTGATCTTCCTCCATTGGTCCGTGTACCATAAGAAATAATCAGAACATAGTGCCGTATCCTCTTTTAATACATGAATTTATTGAACAAAAAATAAGTATAAGTGGTCCTTTCCTAAGTATCTCCTGGAATGTTTTGTGCTGATCCTCACAAAAGAATCATTGGATAGGCACTTCCGTTGTTAGGGTACACTATTTTCAATAAGTCAGCCAACTAGTAGAACTGTATTCTAAGAAGCAGCAGTGAAGTTTAGCTATTGTGCAGCACGGCAAAGCAGGAAGTGGAGCAAAGAGCAAATATGGCTGCTCCTATATACATATAGATTTGTTATAATTACTTAAAGAAATATAAGTATCCAATACTCAGCCAATAATGAAATCTCTGAATTTGCCCCATGTTTTGTTATAGCATAATTACAGCTTCAAAGTGTAACACAACATTTTGGGCTATTCATTTGGATTATTGTTTTATGTGTGTCCCAAAATGCTTAATAAATTGTGAAGCAATAAGGATGAGATTTATCATTAGGCACACAATAGGTCTCTATCAAATGCTTATAGATCGCAGAACAAGGTGGCATTTTCCCCTACAGTTACAGTGCGCCATACATTTTTTCCCATCAATGAAAAAACAATTGGCTGATTTTCTTAGATAATTAGTTGTTTAATTTTGTCTGGTCTTTTTTTTAGCTAAGAACATGGAAAACAGTCTTGGAGCAAAATCACACTAACAATCCTGTAATAACTCTAGTTCTACTTTAAGGTTCTTTTGCTGCATTTTGGATACAGTAATCCAACACTTAAGAGAGGTTTTTCCTTTTACAATATACTTTAACCCTTTTTGTGACCAGAGTTTTTCTGAAGTGTTAAATGACCATATCAAGTTTAGTAGTGTCAGTATGTGTCAGTTCACATAACTCTATGACTAATTGGTCTGTTTGACACAGGGTGTGAGAACTAGGAACACACAGTTGTGCATACTAAGTTCTCTGCTGGGAGGTTAATTAGCGTTTTCACACTAAAGGGCATTTTACTTCCTGAATGGATATTTTATGTCTGGTGGTATTGTGGGATTAAAGATTCTCTGACACTGGTCTCATGGGCTGAAAAAATGCTGAAGAATCTTCTTTGTTAGCAACAAAGCAACATGTAATTTTCATGTCCAATCACCAAGTAAACAACGTCTTACGAGCAGGTCAGTTTTCTCTCTGCACTGGCTATTTACCAGTGCAATGTGGGGCTAACTAAAGTACATATGTTTCATCCCAGTATGTCCAATGGCCATGCTTAAAAACCCCCTAGGGTTCCTCCAGAAGTTTTTAGGGGTTCCCTGAGCTCTGGTTGATTGACCTCTCCTCCTTGACATCTTATGGTGCCTGCAAAGTTCTGGCCCAACGTTACTGGGCAGAGTCAGCGGCATGACACCAGTTACCTTTTTTAGTCATCTGTAAAGGCAGCATTTTGAGCACCACCACCAGTAAGAGGGCATGCTTCCGACTGGTCACCAATGTAAGGGGCATTATTTCCACTCCTCACCACCATAGGGGGCATTTTTCCCACTGAACATTAATATAGGGGGCATTTTTCTCACTGGCTCTGTTTAGAAATATTTTACTGGGGTTGCATGAGATCTGAGAATTATTTCAAGACTTCCTTTGGGGTAAAAAGGTTGAAAAAGGTCTGCAGGAGCATATTACATTATAACGATAGTTTTATTTTGCAGGTGTACAACCAGTTGAAGGATTTACAACATATGAATGTTTATATGAGAGACCAAATTCCAGACAGATTTTCTTACAAAAAAGGAAAATTTGTGTCTCCCTTAACTCTTGTTGCTGAACAGGGCTGGTTTATTGCACAGGTAAAATAGACTTTTGCACTTTCTAACTTTCATTGTGCTATTTCATATAACTCGCTGAGCTGATCTGTCTCCCCAGAGTAAGGAAAAACTGCCCTTCTGGAATAATGGCACTTTGCCTGGGCAAGGCTGGCAGCATGGATGGCATGGCTATGACAATGAACTGATGGACATGAGAGGATTCTTTTTGGCATCTGGCCCAGGTGAATATCTGAAATAAAGAAGCAAAAAAACTAGTTTTGCTAAAATTGACATATATATACAATCAGCTTGTTTATTACGTTGAGTTTGATATGTGCAAATAGTATATAAACATTGATGCATTTATAGCAATACATATGTTTAAAAAAGATACATGCCCATTGAGTTCAAGCAGTAAATTATTATTGTTACATTTATTAATTTCAGGTTCGATTTTATTATCTGCCTCTGCAATGTTGTGGAACATTATTCGCCTTATGTCTCACATTAGAATCATGTGCATCCCTATAATATACAGTGCTTCATAACTTACAACCAGTGCTCCAGAGCTCTGTGGCACACATAGTGCTTCATATCTCTGTAGTTAATGTATACAACTGTGCCTCACACCTCTCTGTTATAGTTTGCTATGCTTCTTTGTTTCTCACAGTGCCTCACACTCCTTTTTATATAAGTTATAATTTTATTGCATTTTTATTAGGTGCAGCATCACTCATCAAAATTTAGAAAAAAAAAAAATGAACAGCTGTGCTTTTTATAAGACCAAACAAACATTCAATCACCATTACATATGGAAGTAAGAAGGTAATGGTCGAAATCTATTACAGCAATGGGCAGGCACATAAAGAGACCCAGGGCTACATATCTAGTAAGATATAGAAATCCGTATGTGTCATAAGGTCGCACAACACCCCTTTTTATATCTCCATGCAATACTTCACATTTCTTTTATCACAGTGCCTTAGGTCATTCTATTGTATTCTATGTCTCACTCTTTATTTTGTTCCCATTGTTTAACACCTCAATTACATGCTATTCCTAATTACATGCACTGCTTCATGGCTTTCTGTTACAATGCCTCATACCTCATAAATTCCTAGGTCCTAGCAAATACATAGGATGTTCTAGATGACATTTGCATTTACTGCGTGAGCGTCAAACACCCACATGAGTGAGTGGGCTGTCTTTTGGAATTTTAATAAACCTATCAAATGGTTTCCATTATGCTAATTTCTGTCCACAAACCTGGCTTAATTTTACGTTAAAGTTAGGCTTTGTGTGCAGGGCTCATTGCCCAAGGTGGGGACCTTTCGCAAATGTACTTGCTAATGCCCGAGAAACAGGCCCTAGGTCACAGTCTTTCGAGAATCGGCATTAAGACCACTGCTCTACTTGCACAGTCCCACTTTGTACGCTTTCACTACAAAGCACTCTTCCCATGTGACTGTACACCTTCACCTCCATCTTCATCCACCACTACCAACCACCTTCATCTTGCTGCATTTTGCTGAATGCAGCATTTTGAGAGTGACACTGCGGAGCCTGTGTCCTGTTCCACCAGTACCGCCATGATTGTCAACTCACTGCCAATGACAATGTGGGCATCCCACCACTCTTCTGTTATGAACGAACTTTAACACATTAATGGATTTACTTCTTACTCTCTCCTTCTTCCCGTGCCTCCAAGCTAGGTGCATAGGTTTCCTATGTTGCGATGTCTGTCCGAAGTATGGGACACCAGTCACTAGGGAGGGAGTCAACTCACTGATCCTCTCACTGCCAGGTTTTCTATCTCCAATGCTAAGTACCAAGCTCCCACTGGTTAGCTGCTATAACATTGTCCACCACTTGCTGGTTACTCATGGCAGCAACATGTTGGCCTCATCTCCTGCCAACTCCTTTGCACAATGGCAAATGGCCTCTCTCCTCTTTTTCCTCCCCAGTTGGAACAAGCCCTTGTTCTTTTGATATACTATTAAATGCAACCCCTTTAGTAAGAACGTCAGATCAGACACCTTTAAGTTACTGGGAATGTATACTGAGAAGTATTCATTTGATATAGCATACAGCAGCATCTTTACAGTTAATAAACTCACTCTACCCCAATCTCCTATCCAACCTGTTTCCTAACCAGGCTGCCATCTCATATCTCAGAGCAGTGCAAAGTCTATAAAGTCCTTAGTCCTCTTCAACGCCCCAACTGGGCACCCTTTTATGGGAATGACCAATCCTTGGTAGAGATCACATTCTGCAGCACCCTCCTTGCTTGTTCCAATGAGGAGACCCAGACAAGCTGCCTCTCCTTGTATTTATGACCTCTTACTAACCCCATAGACAACTCACGGTACAAAGATTTATTTACGCATATACAATACAGTATAACAGAGGCAGTGTGCACCCCAATAGTAGACACCTGCCTACAGGCTAGCCATACATTAAGCAATTTTCTTTCCTTCAACCATGGGTGTTGATGGAGGAAGCCATCCTGCTAAGCTATTGTATTCTGACAACGGGAGGTTTCCTCACCATCATAATACAATGATTACTGCTGCTGGCTATGGTTGGTCACAATAATAGTATGAAAAAAAAAACAACAGGTTGGTTGCACTGAAGTCAATGGATAGATTGACTTCTGTACAACCAGTCTGCCTATGGATGGATCAAAGTTAGGCCAGTTCCTGCCTGAATTTCAATCAGTCTATGGCTTTACACTAACAATTTATTTAGATTATTTTTCATTCATGTATCCTGATATAGTATGAAGATGATAGGAACAATAAAGGGGGAAAAAAGGCAGATTTTTACTTTAAGTTATACCATTCTGCTACATTACAAAAAAAAAATAACACTTATGTGATATTCTTCTAGCCAAAGGACTGTAAAATTGTGTTGGGAAAATACAAGAAAGTGCAGGAGATGTTTTTTTCAGTTATTTCTGTATAATTAGAATATAGGAGTAAAAACATCCAAATGATATCAAATTAGGCTCCATTTATCCTCAAATATAGTAATGAACAAAACATTATCCTAGTCTACAAGATAATACTACCACCAAGCTTATTTTCAACAGGTTAGCTATTGTGCAGCCCTCTGGATAAATCAGGGGGACACTTTTTAGGGCCCCTGTATTCATCAAGACCACTGCCATAAACAATCCCCAGGTATGAACAGTCCTAGGCCATGCCTTTTATGGGCAGAGTGGCAGAACAGAGCATAGTAAATACAAAAGACACAACTACAGTAGTACTTAATCCTACATACAATCTACAGTAATATTATGGTACTTAGGCGCATTCCCATTCATCAAGTTATAGTAAAAAGTAACAACTCAAGCAAAGCTTTCTTTTTTTTTTTCAGATTTTAAGGTGAACTTTCGATCGGCTCCTATAAGATCAGTGGATGTTTACAATGTGATGTGCAAGGTACTCGAGATTGAGCCCCAGCCCAACAATGGATCGTGGTCTAGAGTAGAGTGTATGCTAAAAAGCCAAGAACAGTCTGTTATGCTGGAAAGATACTTGCTAACACTACTTCTCTTTACAGTTGTAGGATTATAGATTTAGGTGCATTTTTTATATTTCTTTTTCTAAAGCAGCAATCAGGGATTTTATAATACCTTTTTATGCTTTCATATGAAGATATTTTATATTCCAACAGCTCTTTAAAGGTCACTTGTCAAAAGAATAAATTTATTATTTTGCCGGTTAGAAATGTCTGTCTTTACCTATGTTTGCACTTGAAAAGTTGGCCCTGCTACCAAAGCTAAAATCATTGATGCAACTATGCAACTCCTTTTGATGAAAACTGTCGACCCAAACATTTATTGGAATAACAAAGCAATATTTCTTAATTGAAAATGCTTTAATAACACTTTAGGAGCATTGATAAAATGAGAAATATAAAATCGTTTTATAATACATGTATTCTACAAAATGGTTTGTAAGAGCAGATGTACAGTAGTATGGTCCAGTAATATTAGTGATATAAACAACAAATGTCGTTATTTGCATACTATTATGTTTATTACCAGAAACTCATGCTTTATCAAAATACTATAGCTCACTGTCCTATTCTATACAGCACAAATGACCAAAATCAGATTCTCTACAAAATGGGAAAATATGTACTGTATGTTTTTTTTTGCAGTATGGATGTCTCATAGCCCAGCTTTTCAGATAAAGACAGACTGTCTAGATTGTCTTGTGCCATGGTTGCACATGAATTAGAGAAATATATTAAAGATATTGAGAAAAAATGCAAAGAACACTACCAAACTACCACATATCTAATCTCAAGAATACATATGCATGGCAGATAAATGATATAACATGACCTTGAAAAGGTTCAAATTGTTCCCACATACAAAATTCTTTAAACATTATATATATATATTATTATATTTAATTTTGAAACCTAAAACATTATTAAAATCATTCCTGTTTTAAATTCATTATTTTGAGACCCTGAATAAGAATGTACTTTGCAGCCCCTGCATAGCAAACCACCCTAAATCTAACCATAACTCTATCCACTTTGCAACTGTGAGCATACACATAACACAGCAAAAATCAATGCTACGTTTAAATGACCATGTACAGCTTTTTTCCTTTACATCTGCTTGATCGATACAACAAAACATTTAATTACTAATTTCATATTTTCATGCATACAATTCTAATGTATCCATAGATGTGTGAGCTCAGCAAGTAATAGATGTTAGATCATGTGATGTATCCAGGAATGAAAAAAGCTCCCCTCTGCACTGCCATGTAATGTTACATGATGTAGAGCAACACTGGAAGCATAATAGGGGTCCTAGACAAAGAGTGTGTTCAAATGCACATTATCGGGACATGCTGCAGCCAAAGGAAAATAGTGTAAGCCGTGTACCGGGGTGGGCTCCCCAGGGTACAGTGAAGTCATGAACGAGGAAAGCAACCCCAACACCAGCTTTTGTCACAACAGAATTTTACTTAGATGTGGCAAATAAACAAAAGCACAAATGCTGGAATATACAATAAATTTACATACACTCAGCCCAAAGGCTGAGACCCTTGTGCTGCACAGCACGGTGCCTTCTGATGGATGAAGGTAGAAAGTGAAGTAATTTACCTACTGGCGGGCACAAATAAGCTGCCTCACCTTACCTGTTATTACCCTAAAAGAGCAGGAATCAGTGTATGGGTGTACGGTATGGGCTAGCCTGCGGTGCAGCACAACAGCTTACAATCTTACACAAATCTACCGTATTCCCCCTCCCATAACTGGTCCTGTAGCACGTGCCTGAGTATTCCTTCTGAGCAAAATGCCAGTCTGGCTTGAGTTTGTAGGATTTTATCAGCTCTTCAATGTGAAATGTCACTTTTAAGTTGTGGAGTCCTTCCAATGATCAGTAACAACACTTGTGGCCTGACACAAACAGAGACCCTAACTAACTATAGGCCTGTCTCAGTCCTATAGGCGCCAACACTGAAATGAGGTGCTGCACGATCTTACCGACTCGGGTCTGCTTTGCATCCGCTGGTGACTCTGAACAGAAGAAATGTCGCTCCAACAGGCCTGCGATATTGTAGTGCATGCTGAGTTGTTCCTCAGCTCTCATCAGCTTCCTGGCAGCAATCTCATCAGCTTCACCCAGCTGCAGCTCACAAGGCCCCTTCATTCAGCATTCTCCAGAACATGGCTCCTGCATTCAGCATAGTCCAAAACATGGCTGCAGTCTCCTCTTCCTGTTCACTAAAAACCCCACCTCTTCATGAATATACAAATATCTATGCCTTCTGAGCCTGTGTTAGAACAGCGACATCTTGTGGCTAAACCGCAGAATGTCAGTCAAAACATCAATTTACGCCACACCATAATTTACTGCACACAAACAGTGTTCAAACAATGAGAGCTGTTTCCCCATCTCACAATAGCAAAGGGCATAGCAGGGCAAATACAGCCTCTGGCTCAGTTAGATAATATTTCTAAAGCACTCATCTTTTTGGGGACTGAAAGCGCTTATCAAATTTGTGGTGTTATATTTGAAGAGAAGCATTTGTCAGGTGTTGCTATAAGCCTGGGTGGATAGACTTTTCTTGAATCTACTTTTTTAAACATCCAGAGAGGGTGTTTTCTGCATAATAAATGTCAGAGAGTTCCAGTCTGTAGGTGCTGCATAATAGAAAGCATGGAATCCAAAAGATGTTAAGATGACTCTGGGAGTTGGAGCATGTGGGAGTATGAGTAACCAGAATTTTTCAGGTGGGACCCAAATTATTTAACTTATTTAAATTATTTAAATTATTACTTTAAAAGTAAGTAGCCTAAGTTTGAATTTAATTGAAGTTTGAATTTAATTTGAAGCCAGGGAGTGAAAATTGGGGTGATGTGACAGTGGCAGGGTTGGTGAAGTCAAAAGTCCCCCACCCTTCCTTACATCACAGTGCACCCCCCCTTTACCTTGTACTACTTCTGGGAAGAAGCTGGGGACAGAGCTGGGAAGGAAAAAGTGCAGGGTCTGAAGGAGAACCAGAGTAGAACTGAAGTCAGCTGGAGTCTGCTGAATGCTGAGACCAGGGGAGGTGAAGGTGAGGGGGTGCTGTGCTGCACAAAGAGGCACAGGATCTGTAGGAGGAGTTAGATCCTCCTCATTGCAGCTGACTGCTGAGATGGGGGGGATGGAGAGACAAACTTCTCCACAGCTGCATGGAGAAACGCAGGATCCAGTGGAGGAGTTCTGTACTCTCTACTGCCAACTCCTCAGACAAGATGAGGGCGGAGACAAGGGGGGGATGCCATAGCTGCAGGAGAGTTGCAAGGGTCATATGAAATGGCCTAGTGGACTACATTCGGCACATATGCTCTAGATGGACTCGTATGTAGGCAGGTGCAGTTTACGCTGTCCTCTGTAAGTAGCACTTTGTTGCTGGCCACTGTACAGAGGGAATAGAGGATGAGAGGAGCCTTGTTCCTCTGCAGCCTCCATAGGGTCACCAAGGGAGCAGTGGTCCAACTGGACACTGGATAACCTCAGCGGCCATCTTTAGTTTACATAGTTGTCATTTTTCAACCGGAAAAAAAAGTCCATCCAGTTCAAGCAACAGAAAAAACAATACACACAAATAGATAACCTCCATATATACTATCCGATACCCACAGTTGATCCAGAGGAAGGCAAAAAACCCAATAAAGCATGATCTGATTTGCTCCAGTGGGTGGAAAAATTCCTTCCTGATCCCCCGAGAGGCAATCTGATATACCCTGGATCAACTTTACCTATAAATATTGGTATCCAGGTAAATTATGTGTTTTTAACAAAAAATCCCAGCCTTCATAAAACAATCTACTGAGCTGGCCAGAACCAACTCTTGAGGGAGTTTATTCTGCACTTTCACAGCCCTTGGTGGGGGTAATGCTAATAAATAGCAGTGCCCCGCTGCAGTTGGCACACATTTGCAAAGTGGACAAAGTTGGGACAGGACCCATACTGGATAGGGCCAGCTTATTTAGCCCTAGGGAGGGGTTCTTGACGAGGGACAGACTAGGGACACTGCTGCCGGCTCTGCTATTCCTTGGACTCCAGTGCTGTGATAAGTTTTGGATTAGTTCTTTCAAGTACTGCTACAGCCACAACTATGTGTAGCGCTAACCCTGAAGGAGCTGCTTGGTAATTTGGATTCTCTGTTCCTTGTCTCGACTGTGTGAACTACCACAGCCCCTCTGGCTTACCAGGTTAAGCAAATAGTAACTGCCTTACAGCAGAGAGCTACTCACTCAAGATACTGTACGTACTAAGCACACAATTATAATTCAGTATCTGTAAGTAAACACCAGTCTGGTTATGAGTAAAGAAGTGTGTTTATATTGTAACAAATTGACCGCCCTATAGCAGATATACTGCTACAGGGCGGCAGGGGTGCGCAAAATCGCTTGTGTGTATATACTTGATTTTTCATTTCCGGGTAGGGGGCGCGTGCATATTTTAAAACTATTACCGCATAGTAACTCTATCTGGAAAATTACATTCTACCTGTTCCTATATGTGCACATTTCCATCTACTTTAACCACTTGCCTTCCTGAGGATTTATCTCCCTTCCTGACCAGGCCATTTTTTCGTTACGGTGCTGCATTACTTTAACTGGCAATTGCGGGGGGTATGGGGGGGAGTGGGGTCGGTCATGCGACACTACACCCAAATGAAATTTATGTCCTTTTTTTCCCATGAATTGAGCTTTCTTTTGGTGGTATTTGATTGGCTGTGCATTTTTTAATTTTTGCGCTTTAAAAAAAAAAGTCTGACAATTTTGAGAAAAAAAACAATATTTTTTACTTTTTGCTATTAAAAATGTCAAGTAAAAAAAATCAAAAAAATCAAATTATGTCATAAATTTAGGCCAAAATGTATTCTGCTACATGTCTTTCCTAAAAAAAAATTCCAATATGTGTAAATTAATTGGTTTACATGAAAGTTTTATAGTGTTTACAAATGGCAATATAGATACTGGAATTTTTTTTTTACTAGTAATGGTGGCAAACAGCGACTTATAGCGAGACTTCAGTGGGTATTCTGAC